GCTATGTAGTGTGACTACTTGTGTATATGATTTTTCTCTCTCATGTTGTAAGCTCACTTACAGCAAGCTCTGTATCAGTAATTTTTGTAATTCCTGCAAGACTCTGTTCTCTTGTATCCCACATCCAATCCATTGGCAAATACTGTCATTGCTATCTTCACAATATATCCAATATCACTAATTCTCGTGGACTCCACCATTACTCTGTCAAGTCCATCTTTCTCTTGGATTATAATTGCCTCCTCACTGGTCTCCCAGTTTATGTCCTCCATAAGGACTCCAGTCTCGTCACAGCAGCCATACTTCTCCTCCTTCTCTGTGCAGATCCCTTCTGGGCTCCCCATTTCACTTAAAGTAAGATTTGAGATTTTTTTGTGTCAAACTGGGGATTGAACCCAGAGCCTTGTACATGCTAGGCAAGCCCTCTACCAATGAGCTTAAATTCTCAGTCCAAAAGCTACAAATAGGGCCGGGGATTTAGCTCAGTTTCGCCACCTGCTGCGCAAGCACAAGGACCAGAGTTCGATCCCTGGTACCAAAAAAAAAAAAATCTGCTGGGCCGGGGATTTAGCTCAGTGGTTCTGGAGCCTGCCTCAAAAGCACAAGGTTCCAAGTTCGATCCCCAGTACCCAAAAAAAAAAAAAAAAAGAACCAAAAGCTACAAATCTGTAACGCTTACAAGGGTTATAATGCTGGCCTCCAATGATCTTCATCTTTTGCTAATTACACCCTTGGATCTCTTCTGCATTGAACCAGTGCTAGCCTGTGTAACTAATAGAATACAGTGGAAGTGAGCCAGGAATGGTGATGCACACCTAGAATCCCCAGGAGGCTGAGGAAGGAGGATTGCTTGAGTCTGGGAGTTTGAGAACAGTCAGGGCAACCAAGTGAAACGCTATCTGGAGACAGGGTGTGGTGAGGGGAATGTGGTAGAAAGGTTCATGTGTGCCCTATAAGGCTAGGGTCATAAAAGGCACTGTACTTTCTGCCTTGGTTTTTTTCCCCCTCGATTTCTTTTGGATTGGCTGCTCAGGGGAAGCTAGGCATCATGTCATGAGGATACTCAAATGTGATGGGAAGAGGTCCACATGCAGAGAAACTGAGTCCTCCTCCTTCCTCATCTCCCTACTCCCTTAACAGCCAGCACCAAGGTGCCATCCACATGAGTAAGCCACCTTGGAAGGGATTCTTCAGGTCCAGGTTTCGGAGAACTGCTATGTCTTAAGAGCCAGAGCCCAAATTATCCACCCAAGCCACTCTTAAATTTGTGTGCATTGTCTATAGCTGTACTACCCTGAACATGCCTGATCTTGTCTTAAATTTGTATTATTGTTTTCAATAGCCAAATTTGAGGGCAATTTGTAGTAGATAACTATTACAAAGATCTTGTGCAGTCTTGTTCCCTGACACCTTTGTGTCCTCATCTCCTACCACTCTCCCCACTGTTCCTGTAGCTTCCCTGCCTCAGTGCCTTGGCAGTTGTTGTTCACTCTCCTGGAAACACTGCTCCCTGATATTTCATGGCTTGTCCTTCGTCTCCTTCAAGTCTTTGCTTAATTGTCAGCTTCCCCAAAGGCCTACGGTGCCTACCGTATTTAAGAGTACAACTCCTAGGGCTGGAGACGTACCTAGTGATAGAGTGCTTGTCTAGCATGTGTGAAGCCCTGGGTTCAATCCTCAGCACTGTAAATAAGTACATAGATAAAAATAAAATTACAGGGCTGGGGATTTAGCTCAGTGGTTTTGCCGCCTGCTGTGCAAGCACAAGGACCCGAGTTTGATCCCCAGTACCAAAAAAATAAAAATAAATAAAATAAAATAAAATAAAATTACAACACCTCTCCCTACTACTCCCTGTTTTCCTTTCACTGGTTTATATCTGCCCTTTACTATGGCATCAACCACTTTCTAAAAGTACTATATCATTTTGTTACTTATTATGTTTCTTTATTATACATCTTTCCCTACAATCACTGCTAGAATATCAGCTCCAAGATTACAAAAATCTTTGTTTTGTTCCCTGATGTATTCCATATGCTTGAAACAGTGCTGGACGTCATATGTGTGCTCAGGAGATATTTGTTGAATGAATCAATAAACATTTCATGAACATGCCAGATTCTGGATTAATACTTGGCAGGTAAATTGTCAATTTCGAGATATGAACATACCTGGGGAATGATGTCTAGACTGTATTTAATTTTAAATTTATTTATTTTTTTGCGTTCATATTTTATTTATTTATTTTTACACAAGATCTTGCTATTTAGCTCAAGCTGACTTCGAACTCATTATGTGAGGCTGGGCTCAAACTTGAAATCCTCCTGCCTCAGCCCCCAAGTACTGAGTTTATGGACATGCACCATTACACCCGCAATATCTCCATTTTATACTCGGGAACATGTATAGATTGTGACCTTAGAAAAGCATAATCGGGGCTGGGGATTTATCTCAGTGGTTTTGCCACCTGCTGTGCAAGCGCAAGGACACGAGTTCGATCCCCGTTACAAAAAAAAAAAAGCATAATCTACGGACACTTTACTCTTACCTATATAAGGCTATTTTATTATAATTATTTTTGGCTAAAGAGAAAGAAAAGTTAGAGAAGAAAAAGACTAAAAGGCATTAGATTGGACCATTTGAAATTGCCAATATTCTACTAATGCCAAATGTTGCAAATTGCGATTTAATATGCTTCCATACAAGAGAAAGGAAAATGAATGGTGCAAAGATTTGGAGGAAATGAGAAAGAGATGGGATCAAACATGAACAGAGGCTTTAGCCTTGACAGAAGAAAGAACATGTTCCCAGAGATTAAAGGGCATAAGATGTAGATAAGTAGAGCAGCATTTTGAGGGTGGTCACTACACCTCAGTTGGAGCTGGGGTCTATGGAATATAAGATGTGTAGTTATCTGCTGAAAGGAAGAGTAAAGGTTTAGCATCAGAACTTTTTGTGCAAAAGCAGTTATAAGCCCAAATAAATATAGTAGATAAAATGCAGAGCTTCTTTGAGTGAAGGGTGTGAGGTGAGCCCTGACCTCTAGGTTTTGCCCTGAGAGCCCTGGATGGGTTTGATGTACCTTCTGGCAGAAAGAGGTTCATACCTGCAGGGGATTGCTCTTGACTCATCAGTGGGAGGACAGCCTTTGTGAAGATCATTTGTGTCAAAAGTCTTCTATCATCAGCATCTGCCTCTCAGTCTCCTGATTTTTGCTCAGCTGTCTGGATCAGTAACCTCTCACTACCTCCTTGCTGCCAGAGAGACTGCAACTGTAATTTCTTCTCTTTGTGTGGTCACAAAATGCCTGCTCTTATCTTGTGCTGACAAAACTAGCATCTTCAGCTAGCCCTCACTTTCTCTGCCTTTATCTTCCAGGGAACAGGTCACACAGAATAGACCTGCTGCTTGTTTGGGGTGGGGACAAGAGCACATCCTCGTATGAAACTAATGGAAAATTATATCTGGGCTTTCCATATACTAATCTATTCATATGGTTATGCCCAACCTACTCAGTGTGCAAAAAGCAAACGACCCAACAAAGTGTCAAGGTCAGGGTGCTGTCACTGTGTCTGGAATAAGGAGGAGGTGGAAGCTATGGGAGTTGAAGTCCGGGAGAGAGGCTGTTATGGCAGTGGGATTTTTGTTCAGAGAGGAAGGGCATAGAGGCCCAAAGACCTGAATGGATTTGAGTGTCCTGAATACTGATAATAAGGGTTAGCACGAAGTCTGAAGTGCTTATCTCTCATAATCCCTTCAGTAACCCTATGACCGAAGTTGTCTTTTTATTTTTGTTTTGATTCTGAACGTAGAAGGGTACCTGGCATATAGCAGGTACTCAAGCCAAGTTGGGTCAGTCCTCCACCTAAAGCCCTGCAGTGGATTCTTACTTGCTAGAGACAAACACAGGATGCTGTGGGAGCCCAGAAGAGCAGTCCAGGACCTGGATCAGAGATGTCTTCACCAAGACTTTGGGACTGTGTGTGTGTGTGTTTGTGTGTGTGTGTGTGTGTGTGTGTGTGTGGTGTCTCATGCATGCTAACCAAGTACTCTATCAGTGAGATACCCTACCAGAACTCCAAGGGTTTAGTCTGTTTGGTTTTTTTGAGATGAGAGGGTCTCTCTGTAGCCCAAACTAGCCTCACACTCATAAGCCTCCTGCCTCAGCCTCCTAAGTATAGCTGGAACTACAGGTATGTGGACTTAATTTCAAAAAAAAAAAAAAAAAACCCTTCAGTCTTGAAATACAACCAGGAGTTTGCTAGATGAAACAGTGGGAGCAAAGCATCCAAAGCCAACAACCAGCATGTGCTAATGCATAGCAGTAGAACAAAGCTGGGCATGGTCGTGCATGCCTGTAATCTGAGCACTCAGGAGACTGAGGCAGGAGGATTGCTAAGAGTTCGAGGCCAGCCTGGGCTATATAGTGCACTTGAAGCCAGCCTGAACTACATAGTGAAATTCTGTCTCAGAATCTAAACAAAGGGGGAACAAAATAACATGCACATGAGGAATAGCAGTTACTGCCTTACAGCTGGAGAATAGCTGCTGCTAACACTGTACTGAATGTTTATGATGTTCACACTATGTTAATTGTGCTCCACAGTGACAAAGACTCCTTAACCAAACCCAAATCAGGATCCATTGAGTCTTCTTTATGACTAGGCTCAAATTTTGGCATTGTGCTAGGACCATTTAGCCCAGTTTTAGGAAGAATCATGAGTTTGTTCAGTAAAAATACCCCCCCTCAGTATCTGATATCTGATCAAATTCCTCATCCCCTACTCATCACTCTGGCCTCCCTCTAGCAAGAATTCTGTTGCCAAGCATGGTGGTGCATGCCTGTAATCCCAACACATGGGAGACTGAGGCAGGAAGATCTCAGCCTGGGAAATTTAGAGACTTAGTGAGACCCTGTCTCAAAATAAAAAAAATTCAAAAGCTGAGAATGGGGGCGCGGCGGCGGTCGCCGCGGTGGGCGCTCTGCTCCTCCTGCGGCCGGAGGACGCGGGGCCCGGTGCTGGCCTCAGCATGGCCGAGATCCAGGCGCTGCCGAAGCTTCGGGAAGACTTCCGGATGCAAAAGAAATCTGTCTTTATTCTGGGCGCCAGCGGGGAAACAGGCAGAGTGCTCTTAAAAGAAATCCTGGAACAGAACCTGTTTTCCAAAGTCATGCTCATAGGCCGGAGGAAGCTCACCTTCGAGGAGGAAGCATACAAAAACGTGAATCAAGAAGTGGTGGACTTTGAAAAGCTGGATGACTATGCGTCTGCCTTCCAAGGTCATGATGTTGGATTTTGTTGCCTAGGCACCATCAAATCGAAAGCTGGAGCAGAAGGATTTGTTCGTGTTGACCGAGATTACGTGCTGAAGTCAGCAGAGCTGGCAAAAACTGGAGGTTGCAAACATTTCAACTTGTCCTCTCGAGGAGCCGATAAGTCAAGCAAATTTTTGTATTTACAAGTTGAGGGAGAAGTAGAAGCCAGGGTTGAAGAATTAAAATTTGATCGTTACTCAGTATTTAGGCCTGGAGTTCTGCTGTGCGACAGGCAAGAATCTCGCCCAGGTGAATGGCTGGCTAGGAAATTCTTTGGCTCCTTACCAAACTCTTGGGCCAGTGGCCTCTCTGTGCCCATGATGACTCTGGTGAGAGCAATGCTGAACAACTTGGTGAGACCAGGCGACCAGCAGACGGAAGTCCTGGAAAGCAAGGCCATCCACAGCCTGGGAAAAGCTGACAGCTCTCTCAAGCTGTGACCATGCTGTGGAAATGCTTTTGCCCGAGAATCTCAACACTTAATCACTCAATCTTTACTTTCAGCGTCTAAGAAAATGTTTGTGTACTTTACCTTTGTTGTTTCACTGTTCTCAACCCTAAAGGCCCAAGAAACAGCTGTGTTCTGTGTTCGTGGGTTTAGAGCCTGGTTGTAATACTGGTCACCCGGGAGCTTTTGAAAAAATGGAAATGTGTTGGCCTTATCTCAAACCTTCTGGGACTGGATTTGGGGGTTTTGATAGACATTTTGATGTCTTCAAGAGTTTTACCATTCTATCTTCTAGTAGATTAAGTGCTTCAGTTTTAATATTTAGATCTTTGATCCATTTCGATTTTAGTTTAGTGCATGGTGAGAGATGTAGGTCTAGGTTTAATCTTCAGCATGCTGAAACCCAGTATTTCCAGCACATTCATTAAAGAGTCTACCTTTCTTCCAGTGAAGGTGTTTGGCCCCTTTGTCAAAGATAAGATGGCTAGGTGTGTTTGGAGTTATTTCTGCATCTTCTAGCCTGTTCCATTGATCCTCAGGGTCTTTTTTTTTTTTTTGGGACAGTAACATGCTGTTTTTGCCACAGTAGCTTTGTAGTATAATTTCAAATCAGAGATTGTGATACCCCCTGCCTTGCCTTTGTTGCTCACAAATGCTTTTGCTATTCTAGGTCTCTTCCGGTTCCAAATGAATTTTAGGATTGCTTGCTCTAATTCTGTGATGTATGCTATTTGTATTTTGATTGGAATTGCAATAAATCTGTATAACAATTTTGGAACCATTTTCACTATATTGGTTCTGCCTACCCAAGAACAAGAGATATCTTTCCATTTTCTAATATCCTCTTCCATCTCCTTTTTCAGAGTACTGTATCTGTCAATGTATAGGTCTTTCATTTCTTTCGTTAGAATGATTCCTAAGTATTTCATTTTTTTGGATGCTATTGTGAAAGGTGTGGTTTCCCTAATTTCTCTCTCAGTGAGTTTGTTATTTGTGTACAGGAATGCTATTGATTTTTGAGTACAACACAAAGAATTGTCTTTAGCCAGGATATGAAAGAAAATATGGAGGCAGAAACATTCTTTTCTTAATATCATAATGAGTTTGTTATTGGTATACAGGGATGCTATATAGATTTGGAGTGTTGATTTTGTATCCTGCTATGCTGTTGAATTTGGTTATTAATTCTAGGAGTCTTTTGGTGGAGTTTTTTTTTTTTTTT